GAATCCACTGTTGCCTTTGAGATTCAACTCAAGTACTCATGTCCATAAAGGTTTTATATATAACAAAAATCTTGATTACTTATCACCTGCAAAAGAGTTCTTTGCCTGGGATTCAAGGTCTATGATCACATATTCTCCTATCATTATATACGTCTATGTGTGTATGTGACACACATATACCATGCTATGATCACACACTGCATCTTGTCTTGCATATTCCTCTTCTTGCTTTATGTTCCAGTTCACGCAGACATAAATCTTCTTTCACTTGGTGATCTCATTAGTTCCCATAACTGCCTAACCAGTGTAAACTGTCCTGCTGACTCAGTCTTGCATCTTCAACCTCTTAACAGACATCTTAAACTCTATATATCCCAAACTGAATTATATTTCCACCTAAATCCTAGTCAAGGATACCCACCGTCCTCCCAATGCCCCAGGCCCACAACCTAGGCTTCATCCTTCACTCCTCACAATCTCCCGTCTTCCTAAATTAATCTATTGCCAAGGCCTATTTTACCCTTGCATCTCTCCCCACTTCCCTTCTGATGCTGCCACTCCTCTGGCTCCAGGCCCTATCACCTCACTGCCCGGACCTATAACCTAGCCCCTCCTACCTTTTTATTAGTCTTCTAGCACCAATTATTACTTGTCTCTTGCATCTTCCAACAAGACAGTTCATCTTCTAGCTCTGGACATAGTCTCTGGGTTTCATCTCTGCCTACGCAGGCTTTCCTAACTTCCTTCAAATCCCAGCCAAAAACCCAACTTTCCAAAGGAAGTTCTTCCTAAAAGAATCCCTGTTAGTGCTTTCTCTGGGTTGACTATCCCTTATTTATCCAGTGGCTAGTTTGTTTACAGTTATCAGCCTATCAACATTTATGAGGGCTGGGACTGTATCTCTAGCACTCAGTACCAGTGTCTGACACATAGGACTGACGCACCAGACTTAGAACCTCTTGGATGTTCTTCTGGCCTCAAACCTTGTCCCCCTTTGAATCCATTCTTCATATAGCTGTTAAGCAGTCGAATTGAACTTTGTGGAAAAGGAGTTAGAGTATAAATCATAACCCAAAAGGGATCAGAAAGTCAAATATGCACATGCAAGTCTTGGGGCAGAGGGAAAGGCCCCAAGGTGTGCTTAATGAGGGCAGAGAGGAAGTGGGGACAATGGGATTGAGAGGTTTGATTAAGGCTGCAGTATGTCTGTTTAGCAGACAGACATTCTGCAGGACAAGCCTTAACATCCCTTAGGAAGGCAGGAATGACTTTAAAAATGCTCCCCGGCTCTGAGAAGCAGACCTTTAATTATGTGCTAGTGCCTGGCTCATCCTCTCTGGAAGTGTTGCAGGGGAAGGGTGGCATCTTGGGCCATCTTGCAGCCTTCCTTCTGAGTTCCCTCACTCCACCAACGACTCAGTTTCCTTCTTATAAGGGCATTCTTGGGTGGCAGTGTGAATAGAACTGTTGGGAAACAGGTGAATGGGTTCCGGACTTGAAAACAAGTATTTAAGAACCTTCTGGGTGACAGGCAAAATGTGAAATGCTGAGGATATAACAACTCAGCCTTGTTTCAAGAGACTTGGTTTTTTTTTTTTTAAATCACACCTTGGCTCTTTCATTTTTGGGGGGGGGGGGCTAGGCAATGGGGTTAAGTGACTTGCCCAGGGTCACACAGCTAGTAAGTGTTATGTGTCTGAGGCTGGATTTGAACTCAGGTCTTCCCGAATCCAGGGCCAGTGTTCTATCCACTGTGCCACGTAGCTGCCCCATCAAGAGACTTGTTTTGACAACTAAGTTCTAGACTCATTTGATTCCACAAAGAGGTTACCAGAAAGACAGGTTTTCTAGTAGTGTTCCTAAGCCACCTATCAACCCTATAAAAAGACAGGTAAAGTGATATTGGGGAGATGTTGCTATATTTATACAATTTCTCAAGAACATATTAAACCGATATGCAATTTTTTTAAAACCAGACTGGCCGATCTTTATTTAAAGCTATGCACATCTTACTTAACCCAAAGGAACACTACTCAATCCCCTAAGTTCCTCCCAAATAAATCTAAATTGTTGTATAATTTAAATTGTATTTCTTTTCATTGGGAGATGAGATATTAGAATTAATCATTTTTTGAGTGCTCTTCTTTGGTATGGCAAGGACAAAATGAGTCAATGCAGAAAAATACATTCACCCATGTGACAAAATTATATAGCTCAAACACAAATAGAATAGAGCTATGAGGACAATCCCAGTACACTGCTTCACAGCGGGAGGTCCACACATGCTGTTTGATTACACATATTTCAGATTTTTTTCCCAATGTAATGAATTATGCTGCCTTTTAAACTTTTTTCTTTAAAAATATTATTATATAGGATGGCTCTCTGAGAGGGGAAGCACATAAAGGAAGAAATTCTGGTTAGGGGCAGCTAGGTGGCACAGTGGATAGAGCACCAGCCCTGGATTCAGGAGGTCCTAAGTTCAAATCCGGTCTCAGACACATAACACTTACTAACTGTGTGACCCTGGGCAAATCACTTAACCCCACTGCCTTAAAAAAAAAAAATTCTGGTGATGTAAAAACTAAGCTATTAATAAAACTTCACCTCAACTGAAGGTATTTTTATTGCAGCAAAACATACCATTTTTGAAAGATGGCAAGTAAAAGCCTTAAAATCCAACTTTCTACTCAAGAATTTTTGATCACGTTCTGATTGGCCCAACTATACCTAAAAAGAATTCACTTACAAAGTATCGTTGGCGAGGCAGGTAGGTGGTGCAGTGGAGAGAGCATGGGCCCTGAAGTGAGGAGGACCTGAGTTTAAATCTGGCCTTGGACTAACAGTTGACACTAGCTGGGGGCAAGTCACTTGACCCCAATTGCCTTAAAAAAAGAAAAAAAAATGTAGCCAAAGAATCATCGATTTGAGAACCTGCCAGTTTCTTAAGATTGAGCAGTATTAAACTTCCATCTTGAAGATGGAAAAAGGAATAAAGACTATTGTTACATCTCAAAATACTAAAAAGGTTCCTTCTTAGAATGTGAAAGTCAGCACTGAAAAAACCTAATGTAAATAAAAGTGATAAGAGGTATTACCAACCACTGAACAAAGAAAAAAGGTCTGACCAAATGTGCCTGTGATGTGGGTGATAAACATGATAGCTGATTTCTGTATAGCACTTTAAACATTTCTTTAATATACAAGCAACATTTTTAAAGATACATTTTCACTGGATGTTCTGTTCCATGCAGTCCTGAGTAGATCAGTTGGACAAGGGAGGAGTGAGCATAGGACCGAATCCTTACAGGAGACCTTTGCACACTCAAGCAGAAATCATCTGTAATCACAGAAAGCAAAGAAGTTTCCATTCAAGCCGACTATTAGAGTAAGCTCCTTCATGATAGCGATTCTGACTTGGTATCACCAGAACTTAGCACAGTGCTATATAAATTAGAGATTTAGTAAATGTTTTCTTGAATGTTGAAAGTTGGACTGAAGTGTTCAGAATACCTGAAATTCTGTGTTACTTCATGCATAAAAATACTGGATTATCCACCTAACAACTTTTTTTTTTAACAATGCAAACTCAATTTCCTAGAGACTGCAGGGATTCTTCTAAGGCTATGCTACCCAGCTCACAATGCAATCTGTTAGGTACTTTCTACCCGGCAGCAGTCACGACCCTGTTTAGCCTTACTTTTACTCCATTTCATCATTTTATTCCAGAGAGATTCTCTGCGAACCTCAAATATCAGACTCTTTCTCATTCTGAAACAAGTAGACTGTGTCTGTGTGCTGTTCACATTAATTCTCTTGTCCTTAACTATATTCCAAATACCTGGGTTGGATCATGCCAGGTGAGCAGCTTTTGCCTTTAAGATCCTTAGTAATTTCTCACGAAAATTTACAGGGTGCTGCAAAGTAGAGATTAATTAAGCTAGCATATGTACACCATGCGAATGTCATTTTCTAAGGCGGCAAGCTGACAACCGATATGGGCTCTACTGGCTTTCTTCCTCTCTTTTCCTTCAAAGAACACAGTCTAAGAAGCTAAATAGCCCAGTGACGTGCCAGGGCTGTAGAACAAGTAATAGTTCTATCTTGTGTAAGTACCTTTTCACTAGGTTCCACTGATAATCATGTCCTCACAAGGAGGTCTTCGCTAGACCACACCAATTTCGTCCTTTAATCCTTCCAGAAGAATCTGCAATTCTCTCATTATTTATGAACCCTCTTAATAAATCGACAAACAGGGAATTATCATGAGAGAGAGACTGTCCTGGATAGACAATTATTTATCTAGCTTTGAACTGCCAAATATTAAATAAAAAGTATGACTGTTTCATTTCAAGGACTGTCTTTCACACAGAACAAAAATAAGCCCCCTCCTCACTCCAAACAAAAATCAAGACTATTTCCCTCTAGTTTACTACTCAAATTTTCCTAAGCCTAGGACAAGGCTAAGGATGACCTTTGGTTTTATACCAACCTCTGAGAAGAAATGGTTATAAAAGCAATAATTTCAAGGAAAGATTATACTCCTGGTATGACCTCAGGCAGGTTATTACCTCTCCGTCCCTCAGTTTCCTCAAATGTAAGAGCTGGGTGGTCTTCCAATGCCTACATCCATGACCCTAACGAAGGTCCCATTAATCCCTTCCCAGGACAATGGATAAAACCTTTCCCAGATTACTTAATTACACACAACATTGCTATAGCCATCGTTCTCATTTTTATAGGAGACTGGTCTTCCCACATTCAAGAAAGAGTCATATGAAGTCAAGGCAGACAAGGATTTTCTATTCAAGTGTGAGGTAAGTAAATATTAAAAGGCAGATTAAATATTTTTCATAGTCCTTGAAATAATCTGCAAGTCATCTTATACATTAAACAGGTTTTAAACTGCCATTAAATCCATTTTTATTGCCTCATTAAGGAGCAGTTTGAATCAAGAAATGTAAGTCCAATTAAACTTTGAACACATGTAGAGTCAAATATTTCAACAAAACTGCAGTTTAATTTCAGAAAAAGTGTTAAAATATATATATATTTATACATCAATTTCTGACATACACTTAATGTGTTAGTATACACAAAATGATGCTTTCTCTTGAAACTGTATTTTATGAAATGTACATTTTTAATTTAAATACTCAGTATACACTGCACTTAATCTGCATGTTGCATTTATTAAATACATTAAAATCTGCAATGTAACAAAACGTTTCTGCATACGAAATTCAAAACACCATTTTAAATGAACAAAAGATGGCTCACTTCATTTTCTCCTAGTGCACAGTACACTAGCTCAGCTCCACCCACACCAGCTGTTCGTTCTTCTTCTTTGACATTGTTCACAGACTAATACATATTACAATAAGAGTGCTGGATAAAAACATGAGGTACGAAAGTGGTTCAAAGATTACAGGTCATGCAGATCATGCTAGACAGCAAAGAAAATTGTGAATGAGAAAACACTAAATAAAAATACATAAAGAATGTGCATTATAAAAAAAAACTCCATTACACAGCTTTGCTTCTTTGGTTACAAAGTAGGTTGAACAATTTCACAGCTTTTTATTCCCACCCAAAAAAAAAAAAAAGGTCATACGAAATGTTGAAAGCAGAGGAATCATGGCAATTTCTCTATAGATAGTAGAAACAGAAATGAGCAAAGTTTTCTTCATCAAAATAGCCCATCAATTATTTATTATATCACAATAACTGGTGACTACCTGTACAGATGCACTATGGTCTTCATACTTACACTATACAAAATTTACATTCAAGCTGGGTCTTTACTACTGAAAATAAATACCAAAGATAAATTGCCATTAGTGTTAGAAATATGCCAGGATTCTTTTGTTCAATTATTGCCTAAATGTTTTATCTAGTAAATGCAATCCCGTCTATCAATTCCTTTACTGATACTTACATTTATTTTTTTTAAAAATTAAGAAAAAGTTCTGTGACATTGTTCATGTACATTATGAAAATAGCAGCCCTGTAATAAATAAAACACAAAGAAATGAAAACTAACGTAGGCAAATGTTACTTCTAACAAGACAGGAAGGCTCAAGGTAATCCACGGACGATAGGAGACTGAGCGCCACCCAAGCTCTTAAAGACCCCGCCCCCTCATGCGCACCAGGTCACAGGCTTTACTTTCCCGGCTTTACTAACCCTCATCTATGACTTTCCTCGGGTCTTGATGACAGCAACTATGGGGCACACATCTCAAGGTGAGGACTAGCTCTTGGAGGATGATTGTCTAATACTGAAAAGGCCAAACACACGCGTGGCTACTTGCTTTCATATAAAGTGGAGAGAACGCCAGTGGCACCCCGGGACAGGCTGCTTTCAGGTCTGTCTTAGGCGAGCAAGCAAGCTTCACGCTGAGGACACATTCGGCGGCTGTGGAGGCTGCGCTGGCTGAGGAGGCTGTGCTATCGCTGTCTGCTGCTGGGAAGTGCTACGAGGATCGGCCTGGTGGGTGGACAGCTGGGATAATTGATCATTGTTTGAAAGAGATTTTAACAGTGCGTTCTCTCGTTCAAGTAAAGAGTTTCTTTCAACTAATTCTTTTATTTGTTCCTTCAGCACTTCTACCTCTTCTCTTACTGCATACATCAAATGGCTTTTCACCAGATCCTGTAAACAGAATTAACAACGTCAAAGAGAATCAACTCACAGGAAACAGAGGATATAAAAAGAGAAATCAAGTACTTTGGCAAAAAGCATTTTTTTAAAAAACTGACTCCTGCAAACGGGTTTTCAACCTGTTTTACAGTGTATGCAGACCAAATACATAAAGTTGTTCTTCACAAATGCAGCAAATTCAGCAGACAAACCATACCGAAACGTCAAAAGAATTCTCACTGCCGGATAGAGCAAAAGGTAGTAGCAGAGTTAAAAGGTGGATAGAAAGATTAGACAGAAGAGGAAAAGCTGGAACGAAAGGACTGGAGGGCAGAAGAGGTATCTGCTATGTAATTCTAACAATGTGCAACTGCTAGCAACTTTTAAAATTCTATTACAGTGGGGGCAGCTAGGTGGCACCATGGTTAGAGCTCCGGTCTTGGAGCCAGGAGGACCTGAGCTCAAATCCGGTCTCAGACCAGACACTTGACACCAGCTGGGTGACCCTGGGCAAGTCACTTAACCTCAACTGCCTCACCAAAAAGCTAAATAAATAAATAAATAAATGAAATCCATTACAACTGATTTTCCAAAAATTTCATTCGTACTATTTTGAACACAATATTTATTTGCAGATTACTAAAGCGTGTGTGTTTCACCTAGCTGTATATCAAAAGCTGGGAACATAAGTAAATTTATCTTAAGAGTCCACAGAACCCAAAAGGTTCACTGATAATATTTTAGAGGTTGCCTTAAGCTGGACAGGAAAGAAATTACACATTTCTGAAAGACTCTCCTCCACCCCACTCCCCTCCTCCAAAATAAAAAAACCTAACAACCCAATAAGACCCCTTGGTAAAACTTTTTCTCCATGAACTCATAGAAATGGGCAGAACAGTCCCGTGTTGAGCGTCCTGCCTCTGATGCTTATTTATACTTTAGGACATAGAGCAGGTAGACCCTTTAAGCTCTACATCTATGAATCTGAGAAACTTGGGGCCTCAGTTTCCTCAATGACATAATGAAGACTTGGGAGGGCTGGAGTAGATAATTTCTCTGCCATTCTAAATACAGAGCTGTGATCCTGTGAATGAGAAGGAGAAATCATGAAACCATTCATCTAGTTCACGGGCAGGGAACCTGTGGCCTCGAGCTCTAGGCCCTCAAGTGTGGCTCTTTGAATCCAAATTTAAGAGTGTGAAGTATGGATTCAGTCAAAAGAGGCCACAGGTTCCCCACTTCTGGTCAGGCAAAGCTCTTTGTGACTCCAACTGGGGTTTTCTTGGCAAAGATACTGGAGTGGTTTGCCTTTTCCTTCTCCAACTTACTTTATAGATGAGGAAACTGAGGCAAAAAGCATTGAGTGACTTGCCCAAGGATCTCACACTTACGTGTCTGAGGTCAGATTTGAACTCAGGAAGATGAGTCTTCCTGATGCCAAGCCCAGTGCTCTATTCACTAAGCCACCTAGCTGCCAATCTAGTTGTATAAGCCAAATAAAATAGGCCCTATACAAATAAGCATTTTAAAGAGGAATTAACCAAACAAATTTTTGTCGAAGAAATACCCTCTTGCCAACAGAACCAATACGTTTTGGGTCGTGTTTTAAGTACTATTCAAATTCTACTTACCATGGCCTGCTCTATTTTGTTGTCAATGGCTACGACGCTTGCCCCAGATGCACTGGAAGGAAAAAAAAATTAAACATTTTATCAAATGGCAACTTAATAACATTAATTAAGTGCCTACTATGTCCAAGGCATTGAATTCAAGGCATTGAATTTAGCCCTCCCTCTTCTAGCCTCTAAAACAATATGACAAATTGTTAAGAAGTACTTTTCATGCTTTACCTAAAATGTTATACTAGTTATTTGAAATTATCACATTTAATCCATTTTGGGGATTTTTTTTAACTGTAGGTATTCAGTTTCCTCATCTGTAAGATAAAAGGGCTCCATTAGATAGTGACGGTCTCTCTTAACATGGTACAACCACTTTCTGATATATAAAGACATGTCATTCCAGCTAGGAAGTGATTCCCAGTTTCAAAAATCAACATGCTTCTCTTCATACTCTACTAGTTGTGCTAAAAGCCAGACATTTTGCACCATACAGCATACAGCTCTTTCCAATGTCCCAGATACCAAAACCTTTAAGAAAAGACAGTTACTCTCCATGCTTTTTAATGCAGAAATTCTAATTATCACTTAACTGGGGGTGGGGGAAGCAAACCATCTGAATGATTCAGAAAACTCTACAGCAAACCACATGAGCAAGAGATTAGTGTTCTGGAGCCTGCAAGTCAAGCCTTTTGAGGCCAAAATCCCTAACAAGCTATCCTATTAGGTTAGTTTTTTTTTTGAAATTTGAAAACACTTAGCATACATAAGCACACAAATCACATTAACAAATGAACCACCTACCACTGCTTAAAATTAAACTGTGAAAACTGAGATACAACATGACTTCTAGGTATCGCTGCTTATAGAGGAGAAAATGTACACTTTCTGTATAAATAGGTACCCTCACATATGCCAAATAAGGGACAGGGACTGGTCCAATGCTGAGATGAGGAGCTGCCAAGGGCACTTGTGAAGATGGGGTTAAGTGACCACAGTCACATGGCTTATGGGGGAGGAGTAGGGCTTGAACCCAGTCCAGTTATCTATCCATTACATCGTGTTGCCCTTTTCATATATAAAGGGCTTTTTAAAAATGATGTTGTATTAAACAGAAAGTTATTGACATGCTTTTCAGTTCAAGAATCACTGTCAGTTACATTCTGAAAAATTTCTAAAAATATTAATGAAAATGACCTGGGCCACATTTTGTCAAATTCCAAAGCGAAGTCTACAATACAAGAAGCATTTAAATTCAACGTTTGCCTCAGAACTCTGGGTCACAGTACCTTCCATATTTTGCTATTTTTAAAATTTCTACATGTCAAGATTGAAACCATTTCTAAGCAATTTTATGACTTGAAAGTCCAATTAATTCCTAATTAGCCAAACATTTATGTTAAATGTTATCTTTAAATGACTACTTAAGAGTATGAACTTGAACAAGTGACATTTTTTTAAAAGGCAAAATTTGACTTTGGGTTAAACACAACTCCTATTACAAGGTAGTCAACCATGGACCTTCCTTGCCTCTAACAATGTCAAATGTGTGACCATGGACAAGTCATTGAACCTCTCAGTAGGTTAGGAGTCATTTTTCATGGTCTATGGGGAATCATCTTGGTAAAAGTAGTCCTCACATTTACAAAGAGGTAGATTTTGGCTGAATGGGGAAGCTGGTCAAATGCTGAATGCCAGGCACAAGCTACGTTTGAGGGAAATAGAGAAAGGCAAAACTAGCCGCTGCTCTCAAGCACTTAGTTCATAGTCTAAGGGAGAAATGACATGTAAACCACGAGGTACCCAACAAGACATCCTTAGGAGGAAGGGACAGCACTGAGGGAACTGGGAAAGGCTTCCTGGAGAAGTTGGGATTCTAGCTGAGACTTGAAGGAAGCCAGGAATCAGGGAGTGGAGTGACTTGTGAAGGAGGACAGTGTGCCCAGATCCAGGGTAAGAGAGCACCCCTGATTTTGAGGGGTTACACAATGAAGGGTGAAGAGGGAGGAGATCCAGCAATAAGGGGCCCTTGTTATGAAGGCTACCTTACTGACACTACCTCCACTTCTCTGCTTAGACATTTACAGAGGATGCCTGAAGAACCTCATTTTATAAGGCTGAGTTTCTGTGCATTACCACAACCAGCAAGGAAATCATGCAACCTCTACAGTCAAACCAGAATCTTTTCCACTGCCTTGCAATCAGGTTCTGTTCCAGACAAGTGGCCAGGAGGACACTGGTTCCTGATCCTCCAGTTCCCAGACACTGCTGCCCCCAGCTTTCCTTACCATACATCCAGCTGGTTCTCCCAGTACAGACGAGCACCTTGGCCTTCTTTTTCTTTCTAAGGAGCTCTCTAGGTTTCAATGTTTGCCCCTGCCCCTTCTCACTCTCCTTCCTTGGGGATCTTCTCCACAAAAAGAGTTAAAAGGGACATCCAAAGTTTTATCTTCTCCAACTCATACCAGGAGTCTCTCTCTACAGAACAGCTCCAAAGAATAGTAATGATGGGAAACTCACTATTTTCCTGAGGACATTCAACATTTGACCAGCTTCCCCATTCAGCCAAAATCTACCTCTTTGTAAATGTGAGGACTACTTTTACCAAGATGATTCCCCATAGACCATGAAAGATGACTCCTAACCTACTGAGAGGTTCAATGACTTGTCCATGGTCACACATTTGACATTGTTAGAGGCAAGGAAGGTCCTCCATATGCCTTGACCTGCATTCTTATCAAGAGATCCATATATCTGTCTAATTGCCTGGGCTGCAACTCACTACAAAACCATGCAGAACTGACAAATGTAGCTGAAGAAAGCAGGGTTAATATATACCTTTCTACTCAATTTAAAGGGAAATCAAACATTTATATAGTCAACAATTTTAGGTCTAAAAATTCAAAAGTTAATTCAGTGCTATTATAACTTAAAACTGTACTAAGATTTCTGTGACACCCTGTATTAACTTCTACACAGCAGAATCTTCTTTCACTTTTGCCTAAGGCAAGCTCCCAAAGACAGAAAAAATGAACTTGAATTTACTGTGAAAATAAGCTAAAAAAAAAAAATCACACTTTACATTTCTGCCAAAGTAGACTTCTGGCTGCTCAGAGAATTAATCACCCCATATCTCACCTCCAAATATTCAATACATCTAATCTCTGCATCTTAGTCACTGCTCAATTTCGGTGGCCTCCCTCCCCCAAAGCATACCCTGATCTCCTTTTTATTAAACACTCCAGCATTATATTTGTGTGCATGTTGCATTCTCTGCAGCAGAGGTTAAGGTCTTTGCATTACCAGCACAGTCTTGCTTATGATATGTACTTATTATTTGCTAAAAGGGTGAAGATATAACATGGCTAAAAAAAAAGGGTAAAAATATTTTGGTAGCCTCTTGATAGCACTACAGATAATAACTATATAGTTCCTTCCTAAAAAAAAAATCTTTTAGATAAGCAGCCTTTATTTTTACAGGCAAATTTCCTACTAGGTTACAAAAAAATGCTAATGATCAATAACTAGAAACAGCACCTGCTGAGTAACCAGGTGACATGGTTCATCTTACCCTTTGGGGGTAAAATGAGGATCAGATGGGATTTATTCTAAGTATAACTGGCTGCATGATGTCTACTTGTACCATGTTCCTGTCTCATCTTTATATCCAATCAAATCCCATAGTTACATGTCTTTAAAAATCCAACTGTCTGAACCAAAAAAAAAAATTCATTTGTCCCTTCAAGACAGACCTCTTGGTCCTGAATTTACAACTTCCATCACACAAATTACAATACTCTTTGCCTTCAACCATAAGAGTTAAATGATGTTTGTTTTAAGAGCACTTCCTCTGGCTTAATTCTCTCTAGAATCAAATTTTCAGAAAGAGATTATTGCAAATTCATTTTTTGATAAGATTAAATCAATGATATTCTAAGATAAACATAAATACTTGATTCAAGGTCTCCAAACAGCTTTGAATACAATCCTCCAAAGATATAAAAGCAAACCCTTGATTAATTGGTATACCTGGGAAACAGGATGTTCTGGTTAATTGAATTTTCTGATAAATTAGCGACTGTGTTCTATATTCCTTTCCATTTTAATCTCTGCATTAAAAACCTAAAGCATTAGTATTGGCTTGAATAGAAAGCATGGGCCAAAAGAGCTGGGTTCAGCTGCCATCTTCTAGAGAACGAATTTGGACAACTTAGTTAATCCTTCTGGACTTCAGTTTCCTCATTCTTAACATGAAGATTAATAAATAATTGGCCTTACAAAGTAGTTATGAGGCTACAATGAAATGGCTATAAAAAGTACCACATATACCTGTAAAGGGTTACAGCCAATCAATTAATGAGTGTCTTCTACCTGCTAGGTATTGTGTCCAGCATTGGGAAGTGTTTCCAAGTGTGGTGCAGACCAGGAAAATAAGCTGGAGATCTGAAGAGGTCAAAGCAGGGGAACCACTGAGGACACCCTGGATTCAAGTCAACAAGCACTTGTTAGAGGCTGGGCACTAAGAATACAAAGATGAAAATGAAGTGATAGAAAATGTGGCTGGCCCATGTGATTTCATTGATCTAGAACAGTTTCCCAAAGCGTTCTCCCTTCTTCCCCCCCCCCCCCCCCCCCGAAGGGGACACGATAACACAGTATGGTAGTAGCCTTGGGCACAATGGGGGGGGGGTGTTGAATAAATACAAGGGGGCAGTGGAAACACAAGAAGAGAAGAGAAGAAAATTTTGAAAACCGTTTGTACGTGTTTTATCTGTTGTGTAATAGAGTTAAAGTTATAGTGATTACATTATTTTCCAAATAAACACAAAATCTAATCAGTGGTCATGTCTGCCAACAGGTCTTAACAAGCAAGTGCTGGTGGGCAAGCCTGTTGCACATTGTCGTGAAGTCCAGTATGCTTCAGCCGGAATATATGCATGTAAATGATTTCTTTACAATACAATACTATATGGTTATATGATACAATATTGGGTCATGAAAATTTCAATGTAGGAAAAAACCCACAAATTTACAATGAATTATTAAATTTAAGATGCATCACTT